TCACCCTGTTGAAAGCACACTCCTCTCATTTTGCTTCAGCAGTGTGAAGACAAGTGGGGTCACCTGTGTGCCCTGGCTGACTTCTCTCTGGCCCTGGCGGAAAGCATACAAGAGATCAACAAACATTCCTTCAACAACTTTGAGCTTCGGATCGGTGAGTAGCAGCTGGGCCACAAGCATGTGGACACCAGCCCGTGACTGCAAACACCCGACCACGCACGCTGCTACAGGAAAACCACATGGACACAAACACTGGGCTGCAGTGACATAAACACAATCATGTGGGCTACAGACACTGAGCCATGATCAAGTGGATCACAACACATCGACCACAAACACTGCAACACAATCATATGGACCATAAACACTAGGCCACGGTGATGTGGACCATAGCCCCACATCACAATCAGGTGGCCCACAGCACTAGAGCACAAACTGTAGACTACAATCGCATGGACACAAACCACAAGCACATGGGCCACAAACACGTGGACAGCAATCATGTGGACTGCAAACACTGGATCACACACACGAGAACCACAAGCACTACAACCCAATCGCATGGATGACAAACACTGAGCCGTGATCATGTGGATCACAAACACTAGACTACAAATAGGTGGACCCCAAATACTACACCACAGTCACAAACACTAGACCAGGCTCACGCAGACCACAAACATATGGACTGCAACCACTACAACACAATCGCATGGAGAGGGTCAGAAAGAGTAGACCACAAACACCGGACTGCAAGCACATGGACACAAGCAGCTGGGCCACAAACAATACAGCACAACCATATGGACCACAAGCACTAGGCCACAGTGATGCAGACCACAGCCCCACATCACAATCACATGGCCCCACAGCACTAGGTCATAATCTCATGGATCAGAAACACTGGATGGCAATCATGTGAAATACAGACACTAATCACACACACATAGACAACAAACACTGAGCCATGATCATGTGGATCACAGGCATGTGGACCACAGAACTAGACTACAGTCGTGTGTACCGTGAACACTGGACCATGATCACATGGACCACAGAACTAGACCACATCGTGTGGGCCACAAACACTAGACTACAATCAGGTGGGCCCTAGCTCATAATCATCATGGACCATAAGCACATGCACCGCAAACTCCAGGCCACAATCACGTGGAACATGGCTCTAGATCCTCATCACATGAACCACAGACACACTGACCATAATAAACTCCAGGCCACAAACACATGGACCACAACAGTAGACCACAGACACATGGGCTGCAATCTCGTGGACCAAGGTCCTCAACCAAAGCCACATGGGCCACAAATATTAGACCACAACTGTGTGAATCATAGAACTAGACCACAATCACATAGACCGCAACAATAGCCTATCATTGTGTGGAGCATAAACACAGGCACACAAACTCCAGACCACAACCACGTGTGCCATAGCACTAGGCACAATTCCGTGGACCAAAATCACAAGGACTGCAAACATACAGACCACAAACATGTGCCACAACACTATACGACAATCATGTGAGCCACAGCACAAGAGCACAACTGCATGGACCACAAATTCTAGACCCAACTGCCTGGATCACAACACTCAACCACAAGCACGTGGACCAGAACACTAGGTCACAGTCACATGACCCACAAATACGTGGGTCACAAACACATGGAATACAACACTGAACCACAAGAACATAGACCGCAAACATTAGCCTACACCATATGGACCAGGGCACTAGACCACCATCACATGCAGCCCCTGCTGTGCCATCTGGTCATGCTTTGTCTGACCCCCACCCAATGCTCTGGACATCAAAAGGCAGTAGACTTCATGTGGCCAGAACCAGGGCAGCATCAGGGGTCAAAGCTAACTGAAGCCTCTCTCGGCTGCCCACCCCCTCCAAGATGCTGGGTGCAAGGGAATATCCTGACCTGTGTGCAGAAATGGCAATACTGGGCTATAGTATCCCTGTTTTCCAGCCTCCTTATCCAGACTGCTGCCTATCTAGAGCCTGTTAGCAAGGTAGCTGAGCAAGTTCAATCAGTTCTTCTACCTCATTGGTAAGGACTCTCAAGTTCCTCCAGTCTCTGCTAAGGCAAAGGCAGACTTGACCCTGGTGGATGTCAGCTACTGTGTGAAGCTAGCCAGGCTGAGAGCTGGCTAACACTTCACTGGTTCACACAACTCACCCCTGCTTAGGCTCAGAGTCACCCTGTGCAGAGCAACAGCACAGCAGCGGCCATAGCACCACCAATCAGAGCCACTGCCATTGAGTCCACGCCGAGTTGCAGTGACCATACAGGACAGAGGAGAACGGCTTCACAGATTTCATGTGTCTTTGCGGAAGTAGACTACCTCATGTTTGTCCCACGGAGCAGCTGGTGGGTTTGAACTTCCAGCCTTTTGGTTAGCAACCCAACTTTTAACCCACTGAGTCATCACGAGAAGAGCCCTGTTAGTGTTAGTGGTTACACATTGGGCTGTGATCACACGGTCTGCAGTTGAAAGGCACCAGCCACTCCTTGGGAGAAAGATGAAGCTTTCTACTCCTGTAAAGAGTTCCAGCCTTGGAAATCCACAGGGAACAGGGTCACTCTAGGTCAGGATTGACTCAATGGCAGTGTTTTTTGGTGTCATCGGGAGTCTTGATCATGGTAATGATGATAATCCTTTGTCCTTGGTCTGATGGCCAATCCCTTCATCCTCTCTGCTGAGCCTGGAGGGTCTCAGAAACCAGCCAGCAAACCCCAGTGCTAATCCACATTTTCCTTTACTACAGAGGCCCAGAGAAGCCGGTCACTGGCTAAGAACACACAGCTCAGTGGTCGCTCCCCGACTCTGAGACTGATAGTGTTGCTAGAGAGCCATCGAGAATGTCTTTGATTCAGGGTGCACATTTTAGTCGTCCACCAGCTGAAGTGCCCTCTTACTTCGGTGAGCTCTCCCTGAGGAGCTCTCAAGAGAAGGGGGTCAAGAGATACAAATATTGCCCTGTCAGATCTAAGGAGTGCCCTGTCCCTTTGTTCATTGGCATACGTGAAGCTGTATTATGTGGCTTTGATCTACAGACACGTCACTGAGGGCCTGTTCTCAGAGCTTCCCCTGGACTCGCCATGTCCCCGCTGCAATCAGCGATGGCCCCGTTGAACCACAAATAAAAAGCAGGACTTCAGGCTGTCCCTGAACAAAGGGGTCTTCTCAGTGAATCCTGGCAAAGTGGCCAGGATGGGAGCCCACCCTGGATGAGGCATGCTAGTCCTCTAGCATCAGCCCTTCATCTCAGGAAGTAGGCAATTAATTCCCCAGCTGGGTTAACCCTAACCATCACCATCGAGTCAATTCTGAATCATGGCAGGACATGTCTGCGGGACAGAGTCGACCTTGCCCCTTAGGGTTTCCAACACTATGGATCTTCTGGGGAGCACAGAGTTGCATCTCCTTTTGTATTTCGGGGTCTTCTTTGATCGCTCATATGACACCAGGTGAGTCATTTACTTCCTCTGGGTCTCAGTTTTCCCATGTGCACACTAGACATTCCATGAGTCCTGTTCGGCTTACCTCCCTCAGTCAGGGCTCTCTAGAGAAACAGAGCCAATGGGGTGGAAACACAGGCACACAGACAGCAGGATAGCTAGGTAGGTAGGTAGGTAGGTAGGTAGGTAGGTAGGTAGGTAGGTAGGTAGGTAGACAGACAGATAGATTGCCATCACTCAATTCCCACTTATCGTGAGCTTGTCAGAGCAGAGCTGATCCAACAGGGCTCGCAAGGCTGTAATCTGTGTGGTGGCAGACAGCTACGTCTTCCTCCTCCTGAGCAGTTGGTAGGTTTGAATCCCTGACCTTTCGGTTAGCAGTCCAATGCTTAACCACTGCACTTCCAGACAAATGATGATAGATAGAGGTTGTTGTTGGTGGTGTTGGGTGCTGTCGGGTCTGTTCTGACCCAGAGGAGCCCCGTGTACAACAGAACAAACCGTGCAGTCCTGTGCCGTCATTACAATGGTTCCTGTGTCTGAGCCCAGCGATGCAGCCACTGTGTCCCCCCCTCTCCTGGAGGCCTTCCTCTTTTTCCCTCTTTTCGCTGTCCCTCGACTTTCCTGAGCACGATGTCCTTCTCCAGGGACTGGTCTCTCCCGACATGTCCAAAGTACTTGAGATGAAGTCTTGCCATCCTCTCCTCTAAGGAGTACTCTGACTGTACTCCTTACAAGAGAGAAGATGATGATAGATGATAGATAGATAGATAGATAGATAGATAGATAGATAGATAGATAGATAAGTAGATAGATAGATAGTTAGATAGAGTACTTGGATAGGTAGGGAGGTAGGTTAGATTAGATGGATGGATGGATAGATAGATGGATACGATATGATAAAAGGTAAGATATTCATGGATTTGTATATTGTTTATACATAAATATACACAGAAAGAGATTTCTTTGAAGAGGTTGAATCACACAATTGTTAGACTAAAATTTCTAAGGCAGTCCAGCAGGCCAGAAAATCAGGCAAAAGCTGTGCTGCAATCTTGAATCCAAAATTAGTAGGCCAAATCAAGTGAAGGGAAAACCCAGCAGGAATTCCAAGTCACAGACCAGTGTAAAAGCCCTTCCTCCCCAGGGAACCTTAGTTGAAGGCCTGCAGTTGATGGGATGAAGCCCACCCACACGATCACGGCAGCATCCTTCACAGCCCCACCCTTCTAGACCAGAGTTTGACGAGAGACCAGGGAGCCACAGCCTGGGCAGGATATTGGCCATCACACTCACAACCTGGGCATCAAATGGGAAAGTCGCTACGGAATGTAAAGAGCCCCGCACGTTCCAAAGGCGTTATTCTGATTCCTATCCATTCTGCAGACTCCCTTTTACTTCAGACTGCACAGGCACTTAGATCTTAAATATGCATGTGGGCACACACACACACACACACACACACACACACGTGCGTCTTTGTCCTCCTTTTAGCCTCTCCAAAAGGAGCCCCGATTGTGTAGTGGTTACACACCGGCCTGCTCATCCCAGGGTCAACAGTTCAAAAGTACCAGTTGCTCCTCGGGAGAAAGAGGAGGCTTTCTCCTCCTGCAAAGGGTTGCCGTCTCAGAAGCCCGCAGGGGCAGGTCTACCCTGTTCTGTCAGGTCGCAAGGTGTCGGCATGGAGGCTGGCTTTCAGTCTTTTTGGCCTCCCCACTTACAGATGGGAAACTGAGGTGCCAGTAGGTTGTCTCTTACCCAGCCCACACATCCAGTAAGGGACTGACACTGGCTTTGGATGTGGGTCCGCACATCACCCTCTCCACAGTCACTCTCATGGGCCTGCCGTTGACCTTCTCGCTCGCTTGCCTCCTGTTCCCTTTGCTTCCCTCTTAGGCATCAGCCACGGCTCGGTGGTGGCTGGCGTGATCGGTGCCAAGAAGCCCCAGTATGACATTTGGGGCAAAACCGTGAACCTGGCCAGCCGCATGGACAGCACGGGGGTCAGCGGCAGGATCCAAGTCCCCGAGGAGACCTATCTCATCCTGAAAGAGCAGGGCTTTGCCTTCGACTACCGCGGGGAGATCTACGTCAAGGGCATCAGCGAGCAGGAAGGAAAGATCGATACGTACTTTCTCCTGGGCAGAGTCCAGCCCAACCCATTCATCTTGCCCCCAAGAAGACTGCCCGGGCAGTACTCCCTGGCCGCCGTAGTCCTGGGCCTCGTGCAGTCCCTCAACAGGCAGAGGCAGAAGCAGCTGCTCACCGAGAACAACACGGGGATCATCAAGGCCCATTGCAACCGGCGGACTTTGCTGAGCCCCAGCGGGCCCGAGCCCGGAGCCCAAGCCGAAGGCACGGACAAATCCGATTTGCCATGAAAGCGTTTTCTTTTGTGTTTCCTTTTTTTTGTATTTCTTTTATATATAAAATAAATATACGAATAAAAGGGTTTAATTTTTTTTAGAACAAGGATGGTCTCTTGGTCTTTGGCCGCTGCAGACTGAGGACACGGGTTCGGGGGTCTCCCCAGTCCGACAGGTGTATGGCCGGTCTCTTGTCGACGCAGGTCGTCCCTAATCCTGGGAGGCTGACTGACGAGCGGGTCTGGAAGAGGGTTAGCTTATCAGAGACATGGTGCAACAGGACAGTCCACCGTCACTGTAGTTACGGAGCACTGGCCACCCACCAAGTAGGAGCCCTGGGGCACAGCGGGCTGCATGTTGGACTGCATACCACAAGGTTGGCGGTTCAAACCTACCAAGTGCTCAGAGAGGAAGGAGAAGCCGTCTGCTCCCCTAGAGATATA